TAATCATAGCTTGGCTTGTGGGCTTGTGAGGAGATTATACAGGAGGGTAGAGGGAGGGCGGACGGAGCTGGTGTTGAGGTTGTGTTGCTAAAGATGAGTTTCATGGGGAATTGAGGATTCGCGTGGGATGCGTGGACTTGGTTTGTTGAGGTAGGCGGCGGTACTTGTCTAATGGGCGGTGGCTTTCCACCTGCATGGGTATCAACTCATATCAGCGGGCCTTGTTATTCTCATTGCCTAGAGAATGAGCCCAAGGGAATGAGACATAGACCAAGGTATAAGCTCTCCCATCGAAATGAAAGGATCCAAGGCAGCTCACACCGCGAAATACCCCATATGTAAACACAGCAGGCCCTCAACCATCAAGCCTAACATTGAATCACATTCAGCTCATACATCATTCTACATAAATCATACCTCACGAAGCCAGCACCCAAGCTCCAAGCCCCAGCAGCAATGGCACGCTATACAGTGACATGCTCGATAAACCGCCCTCTACCTGCATCACTCTCCGTTCGGATGCTAGCAATCTCACCCTGCTCCCGAGACTGCACCTGTTCCACCGCCACGAAAGCCGTCTCGCTCTTGTGGGAGCCGCTATCGTACCCGCGCCAGCTTTTATTGCCGGCAGCCTGGGATCTGGCCTGCCGTAGCCGCAGGGCTGTGAGCAAGGGATTGCCCGGATGATAGGCGGAGTGGCCGTATAAGTGCTGGTTCTGGGAGGTGACGAAGAGCTGGCGGAAGGAGGCGACGCAGGAAATCATGATCGCTGATACATGGTCAGTACTGCGAAACCACGCACCAAGAGTATATGGACACCAGCCATGCGGTGACAGAAACCTACCGGTGCCCATCTCAATGAAACTCCACATCCACAGCCAGGTCATATCCATGTTGTGGTCGAGGGCATGGTTGGTGACGACGCGGATAATGGCCACGGCCACGATGACCATGCTCGCGGCGAAAATGCCGAGGAGGATTAGTTTCTTCGTGAGGGAGATTCGGACATTCCAGACGATGAGGGTGGGGATTGAGAGGACTATGTCTGTTAGCGGATTGAGAAAGGAAGTGTAGGTTAATTAGCAGGCCTACTCACTAAGAAGATCGGTGATCACGTCGCCGGCGCAATTGGCCCAGAAGGTGCCGTTCTGCCAGCGGATGTGGTAGGGCTTGCTACATTGTTCTTATTCCTCATGTCAGAGAGGGTGAAAGAGCGAGGAGGGCATGGCTCTCACCGAAGATAAACTCCACGCCTCCCAGGCTACATTGGTAGTCAATGTCTCCGACTGAAATCACCCAGACCGCCAGGGTGATGACGGAGACCACCCACCACCATCTGCGATGGGTCTGGATTTTGGATCCCAGCTTGTAGAAGAAAGTCAGGAAAGAGAACTTGACACACCAGAGCGTGGTGTAGAAGAGGACCATGAACGGGGCTTCGAATCGCATCAGCGCATTCAATCGTGGGACGACGCCCGGCGTCAAGGGCGTTTTGCCGGCGCTGAGCGCATACATCTCGTAGAGCACCGGGGATTCGATCCGCCAGACGATACCGGTGATAACAGAAAGTATCCAGGCCAGGAGCACGAAGAAGTCGTCGACGAAGAGCCGTCGGAAGGTCTTCAGGCGGATGACGATGCGAGCGACGACGAAGATCGTCGAGGATGCGGTGAAGGTCCATAGGACTCCCTAGCGATGCTGTCAGATGTATGAGTTCCGAAGCTAGCAGGAAGGCTACAAACCATGAAGACGGGCCTCGATACTTTGGCATCCTGAAGGCCTGTAAGTACGAATGCGGTTGACATGATGATCTTGGAAGCGCTGCTGGTATAGCAAGAAATACACACATGCTTGGAGACTGAGAGGTGCGGGGCAAAGCAGCTTAATATCGACAAACGAACACTATCTCCCACTCAAAGTTTCTGCTTCTGGTAGGAGTCTCTACAACTCAAATCATGATGAACCCCGCCGTCTTATGTGGGGGCGATGCAGCCGGTGCGACATCATCACACAAGAGGGCTGTGCTTCGCGCCAAAGGTGTTATGCAGTGGTAGGTGCCTCCTGAGACAAGTCTCAAGGATAAGCAATGTGTCAGGCCAAACCCAAGGCTCGTGATATCCTGTTTCGGTATATAGGAAGTGCATGATGCTGTTTGATCGACGGTTGTTGGCTGCAGAATTGGATGAAATCCCAATTGGAGGCTGGATCAGGTGATGGCGGGAACCCCCCGCGCTCAAGCCCCAGGCACCAAGGCTTAGCATCTCACAGGATCCAGCCTTATCCGCAACTTATCCAACTTGCCCAACTCACCCAACTTGATATCATTCATACCATGTCTTATCAACATCCATTTATTGTTGGGGTGGAACTCACCATGAAAGGTGCAGCGAGAATCACCATGCAGCTCACAAAGAAGAGAATCCTTCAACAGGACAGACCCAAGACAGAGACAAAGAGGCCTTCAGGTGTATAAAACAGCTCTCTCCGTCATCATGTCTTACTTGCTGTTCGGCACCAGATACATATGATCATATATCATCCATGTTGTCAGGTATAAATCTCCTTTGTTTGCCAAACATTCTCCATCACTCACCTCTAACGTACCCTGAAATTTTCTGACTTCCAACTCCAACAATCACATGGAACCATCCAAGCACACGACCAACGAGCCGAGGATTCCTTCAGTCGAGCCAAACAACACAGAGGCATCATCATCCAGCGCTGCATCCCAGACATCTGCTCCACCAACAGCACACTCAGTGTCCGAGGCAACGTCAAGCTCAGACACGTCTCCGGTGGAAAGTAGACCTCCATCCAAACCAGAGTGTGCAACAGCAGACCCAGCACCACCCTGCCCCCAATTCAACCCGGAAGACTGGAGCGCCCCAATCGCCCACACCTACACCGGCACCACGGTCCTCAGCTTCCCCGACGACATGCACACCGTCACCATCCAGGGCGCGCGATTCCTCACCCACATCTACACCTGCCCCGTCGGCGACCTCGACTGGGACAAAGCCATCGCCAACATGCTGCAATGGTGTAGTTTCGAGCAACACCGCCGTGCCCCCTCCTCGCAAGGCCACCCCCCACCAATACACGGCCTCCTCAAATGCCCCCCCATCATCCAGATCTTCACCTCCCTCCACCCCTCCACCTTCCCCACAATCCCGCCAAAGCTCACAAGCACAGGCCAATTCGTCCGCTACCAACCGGCCCGGAAATCCCAGTTCCACATCCCGCACGACCTCCGCGAACTCCCGGGGCTTTATCACGGGATCATCCAGCACGAGGAGCCCGATGATGACTCGGTAGAGGATGTGCCGAACCTCTCGTGGCTGTTTGTCGAGCAGTACGCGCCCAAGAAGTGGCGGTGGTATTTGAATCGGCGGGCTGTGTGGGAGGCGACCAGACCGCGGCTGTCGGAGGAGCAGATGGAGATTTGGTGAGGTGAGGGTCGCTTTGTGGACTTTCTGGTAGGTGGTAGGTAGGTGGTGTTTGTTGTTTCGAGGCTAGTTTGAGCATAGCTTGATAACTGTTGTTAAGATCTAATGTTAATATCGAATGTAATCTCCGTCTGGCTAGGGCAATGAAGGATTCAGTTGGTCCGGGCCTGGATATGTCTAAGTTCTGGCTCTTGGCATGTACAGCATATAAAACCATCTCAACTCTCACGGTAAGAGAAAGTAAATGTGAGGATCACCATTAAAACGATTGCAGTGATCCCAAATCATCATCATATTTTTCGTGGTTGCTAGCAATTGAAATCTTGCCCAGATACACTTGTGCTGCATGTAAGCATAGATAATGCATGCATATGTACTTACTGTACTTTACAGCTCTGCACAGCCCTGGAAGCTGTCAGATTATCCAATCGGTCCGGCGGCTGCTCCAAGAATAGACGTGCGGGCCGGAATTCAATGATATGAAGTCAATGCTGGAACAGTAGGTCAGCACTAATGAGCTTCGCCCTGTAAACCAAATACCTGCTTATCCGGTCAGTGCACTGACTGGGTTATGTCCCTGCCAAGGAAAGGGGGACGTTTCATCTTGTTGTTGGCTGTCATCCAGCCACACCATCATCAAACGATACAGAGCAATAGAAAGTGATAGGTGAATTATTTGCTGGGATCATCGTCACTTGGTTTGTGAATCCAATATAATCAAGTCTAGACTGGAATATGTACAGTACATGAAGGGTAGCGCCCCCACACTTCAATAAGTACCTGTGTGGCACCTGTGTAAATCATCGCTATGCTAACCAGAGAGTAAAAAACCGCACTCATGTCATCCGGGGCTGGAATTTGGGATTTGTCCGAATTCTCTCCCCGTACTTCAGCAAGAACAGAGAGGTGGGCGCAAATGCGACAGCGATGAACGCCAGCACGTTGTTGCCCCAACCCAGGCCGAGCCTGTCATACAGCGGACCCCCGCCCAGCGGGATCGTCGCCCCGAAGATCGAGCGCAGCGCGAGCTCCGCGGACACCGCGCTGGCGGCATACAGCGTATACGAGTCGATCAGATACACCTGCGTCACCAGGTGGACGTAGTAAATTCCCGCGCCCACGAAGAAGGTCCCGACAATCGGGACCATGTAGTGCAGTCGGTACTCGGCGGTCCAGCCGTACCAAAACAGTCCGATCGGGACCAGACAGCATCCCAGCACGAGGGGCGGGAGGCGGTCCTCGGGCTTCATCTTCCCGTGGAGCTTCTCCTGCTTCTTGAGATAGCGGTCGGAGTAATATCCGACCGTCACCTGTCCGAAGCAGAAGCCCAGCCCCAGTCCCAGATAGGCGAGTCCGGCTTCGCCGGGGCCGAAGCCGTAGACGTTTTCGAACACCTCGGTAAATGTCGTAAAGAGAATGTACATGTAGCTGTAGGTGACGGAGCTGTACAATGTCACGATCAACACGATAGGCGACAGCACGAGGAATTTGATTGGCCGTGTCAATGAGACCCAGATAAGCTGTCCAGCAGTCTTGTCGGTGTCGTACTTCGTCTTGTAAGAACGGCCGGTCTCTTTGTGCAGCTTCATCGCCTTCCGCTGCAGAATCGTAGGAGCGTATGTCTCGCGAAGTAGGATTAATGAGGCAATTGCGATGACCGCACCCTGGGCTTGTTAGATATGACTTCTGGGATCGAATCGGATCGACTTACCAAGATGACTTCCAGCCAGATTGTCCATCTCCATCCAATATTCTGAACCATGTAGCCACCATAGATAGGGCCGGTCACCATCCCCTATGATCAAGATTAGCTTTGGCATCTATCGTTGTTAAAGTGGCTGCATACCATAAGTGGTCCCACTGTCCATATCGTCATCGCTGTTCCACGTTTCTCCATCGGCATCATATCGGCAACGAACCCTCCGCCGACAGTCACAGGCACCGAACTTGCGACGCCCATGATCAGACGCGACACGATAAGCATGGGCATGTTCACACTAGCCGCGCAGACTGCAGCCGCCACGGTGAAAAGAATGTTTGCCGTGTGTGTCATAGGCAGTCTCCCGGTCATCTCAGTGATGGGCGTCAGAATGATGGGGCCAATTGCAGCCCCCATGACATAGATCGTGGTCAAGAGGGACTGAATTGAGGAGCTGCTGATGTGAAACTCTTTCAGCACGTCTGGCACCCCGGGCGAAAATACTGTGGAGACCATCGAGCTGGATAGTGTCAGTCGTGTTTGTCCATAGGCTGCATGGCAGGATAGAGACTTACACGTTGAAACTGCTCGCAGAGATCAATCCTATAATGACCCATTTCCGCCAACTTGCCCAGTTCATAGGATTCTGAGGGTCGTTAGGTCCATCCCAATAAACGTAGTCTTCACCCCCATCTTGAGAACAATCGCTACTATCAACTGAGTAGATCGCCTCGGTTTCCACGTGAATGGCTTGCTTTTCACCGAAAATTGTGTCGGCGCTCTCAAGGCTGGACTCCAGCTTCAAGGCATGAGAGTACTCGAGGTTGCTTTGAAGGTCCTCCGGCATGATGACCACAGACAATCGAAGACAGTACGAAGAGAAAGATGCTGTGCAGAATAACCTCAGCCATGGCTCAATGAGAACGGTCAGGGTAATAAATAATCTGATAGAAGTCTGAGAGAGCACAGTGCTTCAGACTGGTTGAAGCAGATCGGTGGGTAATCTCCTGGTTTGGAGGAGGCAACGCGCGTCCTCACAGCGGATCTCCCTGGTATGTGGCCCTTGCTGTGCAGTTGACTGGTTTTCTGGGGCTCCCCTCGGTGCCCTCTGACTTCCCCAGTCGCCGAACCTGCCCCGACTGGCCCGTTGGGTCTTGACATGGTGGTGGATACATGTGAATGGGACAATAGTGTCTATCCACTACAAGAGCTGTATGACGACGGTCGTAGGCCCCTTGCATGATCACTCGTTCCATGCGTGTTATCGGGCAGGCTCACTCATTAGCTTTGGGCTTCCGCCCCACTCGCAGCGAACCCCTGGGTAGCACACTGCGGTTGACTCCACCGATCTGCAGGGCCCTGACTGAGCTTGTGGTCCCCTTTTTTTTCCGCTATGGCGAGGCTAAATTTCAGGGATCGATAATAACAGTAGAATCTGAAATCCTACTCCAAGTATTCTGGGGATATGTTTGTGTGTTGACGTGGCCACCCGCCATGTCCGACCACGGGAATGCGAACAGATGCCAATTCAATAGGTGAAACCTGACTATAATCAGAATTTGGGAGCTCTGATGGATGTCAACGCTCGAAGTTCACATATGAGGTGTTTCAACATAGCACAAAGTGTCGTGGCCAGCATCTAGTGAGTTGATAACGCAATGAATTGGTGGCCCAGCGCAACAATTGGCCGATATCTCTTTGGAGTTCGGAGTAGCAATATTCCCGAACCCTACGAGACCTGTGTAGTTATACGATGAGACGTCTCGATAGCCTTATGCCAGCCCAGAACACTTGTTGCAGCAGTTGACGCCAACATTCCATACCAGGATGCGCACATGGTGAGCTGAGTGGTGTGCAGGTGCGAATTGCAGATTAGGGACTCGGGAGTGGCAATCCGAACTATGATTCTACTCCGACTCAAGAAATGCTTGGTAGTACCGCACGGGCAGTATCCAATATCGCCAAGCTTTACCCAGCACTGTTGGACGGCGCCCGGGAGATCCTCCCCGGGGGCAAAGTACCAACTGTCACTGACGGTCGCACCAGCAGCAACTTGGCTACTTTCAATTTGCCTAAATCTGTGGTGTGATTTATCTTTTATTTTTCTTTCCGGCGAACACTTCGACATGATCCTAGCGCCTGGGGTCTCACCGCATCGAGGACTGCTCCCAATCGTGGCAGGTATAACGGATGAGCGTGATCTCCGAGACCCACCAGTCCGCCAATGTATGGACCCGATCTGCAGCCGGATCTGCAACTAAAAGGAGCTTCAGCCCCGAGAGGTTGAGCTTAACGGGTGAGGTCGGGTTGCCGGAGCCAGGGACACTGTTCTGGACCGAGGGGGAAAGGCAAGGTTCTCGAAGGCCTGGCTGCATGGGTGTATCCACCGAGGCAAAGGTCCCGCTCCTTGCGCAGGCTCCGTGGCGGACGCGTGGCGGCTAACGGGCTGGCGGAGGTGAGAAGCTTATTTCGAAGCTCTGGTGTCTCAATTTTGGGCCGCCCTGAAATTGTCCAACTCAGTCCCTCGATCACGATAACTTGAGAGGATTGCAAAAATTGCTCATACAAAATGGAGTTGTTTGATGTGGAGGTGTGTCAGCGTGGTTGGTGTGGTGATGTTGGTGGATTGTGATCTCTTCTGCGTGAAGTCGAGACCGGGTGTGATGTGGGCCTGATTGGAGTCAGAATCCATGACATGTCCAAAAGACACAGTAATCGTTGGAGATGGTCAATCAGTCGATAAGAGGCGATATCCTGGTGTGGAAGTGGGTGGTGATGGGGTGGTGGCTGGACTGACGGCGGAAGTGGCGCCGCAGCCAGAAACTCCAACGAAGCCCGTGACTTCCCTCAGTGGAAACCAACATGTTCAAATCATTGCGCGTTACATGCTCTCTTTGCGCTAAGAGCAAGGCAATGCAGAATTACCTGAATTCATGAGCTAGGGACATAGCGGTCTCATATGCCTCAGAGGATGGACTTCCGCTTCATTATCATCTTGCTTGTGCAGGGTCTGCATTCATGACCCCCCTATGATATTCTACTGAAACCGTTTGCTTTTCAATGATCTCTATCTACGTCAACAAATTCTCTGCTCTATCGGTCAACGCCAAAAAAAGCGCCAGTATTTTGCACTTTCCGATGCAGGGTTGAGCCATTCGAGTCCTCATCGTCACGGATCGCATGCAGCTTTTTAACGGAAAGCGGATGACAACATATGGTCTCAACACTCGGAGCCATGTTTCTTTTGCTGTTGGAAACCTGCCTTATGATCATGCAGCCTCCACGAATCAGGCGGCGCACACAACAGCTTGCGGGAAGGCCAGGATTCGCAAGTCGACAATGTGCAAAGGTCTTTCAGCATATCGTCAAAGAACAAAGTTGCTGGCAAGGTCCATTTTGTAGCTTTGAACAAAGAAATGACAGTCCAGTCACAGGGCCAGTCACAAACCCCGCTCCCATTCTGTTTCCGCTGAGACACACTATGAAAGACAATACACATTGTTGAAAGGACATATGTCTCAACCTGCGACATCATGTCCAATCTATCCGCATACAAGTCCTTTATACCGGTCTTTGTCCCACACCCAGGTTCAGCTTTTTCAAAGAAAGACATTTACTTCAAACCGCATCAACATGTCGCGATCCTCACCCAGACGTGCAGAGATTGCCCTAGAAGCACAGGCTCAGCGGTCTTCAAAGAACGGCTGAAACACAGTGAGAGCAAGCTGTCAGCAAAAAGAAGAAGAACAATGAAGTGACCCTTCTTTCAATGGTCTCACAGAGCAATTCAAAAACGCAGAGGTCGTCTGCTGAGTTCTGCCCTACAAAATCTTCGATATTTTAGCAACCTTCTCTTGAGATCGCTACCTCTTGGACTTCCCCATTCCCCCAGAGGATTCAGAGCTTCGTCCTACGAACATCTCCAGAGTCTTAAGCCAGCGAGCCTCCAACACTGAACACTAATACACAGAAGCAAAACCAAACACAAAATGTCAAATCCACGGCCTATACAACTTCCCACTCCTCCTCCTACACCACCGCGATCGCCGGTGCTGCCTCCAACGCCTCCTCCAACACCTCCGCCACCAGCGCCTCCAAACTCCCCTGCATTTTCCATCTGATCGCTGCTCTGAACAATCTACAGAGTGGCCCCAGAGTCAGCAGAGAGCAAGGCTGGTCTTGAGTCCCATATGCAACAAATTTACACTTTTCTGGCTGGAACAACCAACCAGCTTGCATATGGACAACTGAGCTTTCTTTTCCACAGTTTCTGGAACTGCACTGGTGCCGGATACCAGAAGATTCACTTTTCTTGCTATTCGGGGTGGATGCACCATCTACTCATGTGTTCTTGCGAGACACGCAGATATCTATTTAGGCAGGAATGAGGCAACGAGAAGGAGTAGGATCTTGACCTTGACGATACGTTACTATCTGATCTGAAGTTGCTTATCTTCTGATGATCGCTGATTTCGGGATTCTTTCTCTACCCTCCTGTTTGCTGGTTTGTCGGGAGTAAGATAGCTTTCATAATGTCGAATTTTAATGATTGGAATCAACATCGGTTTCTGCTCTCTGCCTTGTACATCCAAGGCTGATCCTCTTCCCTCGTACTGATTGAGTAGCTACGAAGACTGTATAGAAACACTGGCCAGGGTGAGTTAGCATTCTCTGTATGAGTATATGGGTGGGAGCTCCTTTGAGATACGGTGGCCGTAGTGCGATGGCAGCTGTCAGAAAGAGCTATGCGTCCAAACCAGATATCTCAGCCACAGCAATATCACAAATCAATACTTGATTTATACAAACTAAACTTTCTTAGCTATTACCTCCTTTTACCTTAAGTCACTCTGACCCACCTTTTCTTCTCTACTACAAGACAATACAATTTTATATAGCCTCACAAATATACTTCCACTTCTCCCCTCCCCGCCAGCCTCCAGCTCCCCAACCAGAGCCCTTTTACCAACCCCCTAAAAACCAGCAATATAGCGATGCTCCGCCGTCTCCTCCAACACCTCCAAGCGCATCCCCACCGCAATCTCCCCCTCATGCCGGGGCGCGCTCAACATCCCAAAGCACGGCTTATACTTCATCCCCTCATCGACCCTGCGATACGCCATCAACGTATCCCAAGGCTGCTTCTTATGTTTCTCCGCCGAGGTCGGCTCGACGTTGGGGACCTGACACCGCGCACAGCGCGCCACGATATCCAGCTCCAAGCCTTTCCCAGCCGTCCTACCCTCATCCTTTACACCCCCCTCACCACCCTCAGAAGCACAAGAAGAAGAAGAAGAAGAAGAAGAAGAAGAAGAAGAAGAAGCCACAACCCGCACCGTCTTCCACGTATCCTCCTCCCACGCCACGCGCCCGCGCACCACCACATTCGGCCGGAACCGCTCCACCGTGATCGCCTCCTCCCCCTGCCGCAGCAGCCGCTCATTCAACTCCTCCAGTGACGCCTCCGACGCGATCAGCACGGGATGCACGTCCGGGAAGTTGGTGGCTTGCTCGCGGCCCAGCAGCCGCGGCGCCCCGTTGCCCTGCAGGATGCGCGGGGTCGGGCCCTTGTAGACCAGCGCCACCGAGCGGCCGAGGAATTCACTGATGGGCGCGTTGACTTCGGAGCTGTAGATGTGGCCGTCTGTCGTGGTGTCCCAGATTTTGATGTCCGATGCGAGCGTGGTGTTTTGGGCGAGCCAGGTTGGGGTTGGGTGCGCGGGGATGGTGATTGTGGTGGTTGCTGGGGCGGTAGGGGATGGGGATGTGGATGGGGCGGGGAGTGAGATGGTTAGGTTGAGGGGTGAGTTGTCTTGCGCTGTTTCGTCAGAGGTGGTGGTGGTGGTGGTGCTGCTGCTGCTCAGGGCGGTGGTGATCAACGTCATGCGCGGGTTTGTGCGGATGGTGAGGAACTCGTGCGTCGCCGCGTCGACGATCATCCACCGTCGGTCGAGGTCGAGACCATGCTGAAGTAAAGTCGTGCGGGGGAGGGTGAGTCCACGGCAGGATTTAATGGGGTAGACTCGGAGGGCGACGATCTCGTGGGATTGTTTGGGATGATGGCCGCGGCGGAGGGTCGTCAGGGTCGTCAGGGCGTGGGGCAGGTGAGTTGCGAGCCACGTCTTGAGGCTGGGGAGGAACACGACTAGTGGAAGGACAATTATCGCCAGGAGGACTAGGTCGGCCATTTTAGAAATGAAGTAGAACTGAAAGCTATGGGGTCATCATTGCCAAGTAAAAGGAAGACAAGAAATGAAAAAGGCGCGAGGAGGGGAATGGTTAGAAGTAGTTCGCGATAAGCGAGCAAACCCCGGGGCTCCCGCGGAGAATCATCCTTATCGTGCTTATGTGAGGTCTGACTCATGCCGCCAATAACTAACTAACTAGCGCCTATTGTTCGCCAGAATGATCCATTCCAATGGATATCACATCAAAGGAGTCACTGCTGTGGATCTGGGTGGTGTCTGATCCGAGATAACCCAAGACACGGAAATCCGATTGTCATGCACCGCAACGAGGTGAAATCTTCTTTGGATCCCTTGATTGCAGCTCAGCTCAAGCTTAGCACTAACTACAATTCTTCCTGCCCACGCCATGTCTGACCTTTCCACTGGATTTCCGACGGTGTCCACTGCAACATGAAAGTAGTAAAATTAGGCTATGCCAAATGCAATAATGCCCCCCAATGCGTCTAAAATGCTAGAAGCATGCGAATAACTCCGCCTAGGCCGGGCTGCTACCGCTGACCACCCAACTCGTCACCAGAGCCTTGATCAACGCAATGGCGGCGTCCTTGCCAGCTGCAATATGCTCATCAGTGCAGGACCCAGGAACGTGGAAGAAGACCACATTCCGATCCTGGCCCTCTTGGTAGGCCAGCGACAGACTCGAGTAGAAGATGAACTCGCAGAGGTATCGTCCCGCATCGTTCGAGATCCGAACGTCCGTGCCTGGACCGGCAAACGACTGCCACGCCATGAGGAAGTCGGTGTCGGGTGGATGAGCGTTGAGGTACTTCTTCGCCGATGGCACCGATGCACTTGCACGCCCCGCGGTGAGAACGGTAGGCAAGCCAAGCTCCCTCCATATACGCTCGCCGTCCTCGTAGCCCGACCGCCCTTTGATATCGGACATGAGGTATGCGTCGCGGTGGGCCTGGGTCTCCACCGAGTAGTAGTTCCTTGTTGCCGCTATGCCCATGTGAATGATGATGTCCGGGCGTCGGCCATCGTGTGCCTTGGCGTACTCTTCCAGGATCACGGGCAGCGTCGTCCGCACGGTTGAGTAGGCTACTGGGATTGGAGAAGGATGGACATGGATTGAGACGCGACAAGGCGCTGAGTCGGGGGTGGTGGTGGGGAATGTGAAGGAAGGAGGGAGCGATGAGGCGATTAGATAAGAAGCATTGACCAGGTTCGTTTTGAATGGCTAGGAAGATAGCGACACATTAGACCGTGGTTGCGCGATAACAGGAGCAGGAGCTGAACCTACCCCAAAGCCTGTGACCAGCACAGAGATCTCGTCGGGTTCAGTAGCGGTGGAAGGAGGGCTGGTTAGTGTTCGCGTCTCGAGCGATGTCGCTTCTTGCCCGTAGTCGCCCATGATAGTAGATGCGCCCCGACAATTAGTGAGTGAATAGTGAATGGGTCAAAGAACAGGTCAGTCGGAATTGTGTTCACTTCTCAGTGTATTTATCAGTTTCAGTGCTAGGATCACTTCCACTGAGAGACGGCAGAACTGCAAGCATCAAAGGAGGAAAAAGGCAAGAGGCAAGGTGGTCAGCAATTGAATTTCCAGAACCCTTAGACTAGCTTCTGTTTCCCCCGCATTCATGGCCGGTTTTGGGCAGCCAGTCTTGGCGTCACACGATAAGCACAAGAGTGGTGAGGGGACCTCCTCACTTAAACATGCTGGAGACGTTACCTCGGATCCTTCTGGAACGAACCTTATAGGTCTACATTCTATGATTGTCTGACATGGTACTCCGTATCTAGCAACTTGTAGTACTGGGCATACTATGATACCTTAGTAGACATGTCTCATGCGGCATTTGATCGGCAGGGTCGGATCGGGTCGTTTGGACCGGGATAAAGCTTAGATCCCGATCTTATGGTTTTATATGGGATTGCAAGGGGCCCAGCTCAGGCTCCAGGCAACGGCTGCTGGAATCGGCACATCACGGGCTTTGAAGCAGCAGCATAAAAGTGGAGATGCACCCATCATGTGTGATATCAATATGATCGGAAAGCGAGATCATCCGATCTTTTAATCTCATCTTTCTGGTATTTGACATGGCTAAACCCACCCTCATCTTCGCCCCGGGCGCCTGGTATCCTCCTACAGCGTTCGACCCCGTCATTGAAAAGCTGCCAGGCTATCGCTGTCACACTGTTGCCTTTCCATCCATACAACAGGCAACCACGGTTCAAGATCTCCATTCGGACATCAACGTTGTCCGGAGTCTCGTGCAGCAAGAGGCTGAAAAGGGCCACGATCTTATCGTGGTCTCACACAGCTGGTCCGGCCTGCCGGTGAACAGTGCACTGGACGGACTGGGCAAAGCGGAGCGTGAAGCAGCTGGCAAGTCTGGCGGAGTAATTAAGCTGGTTTTCCTTGCAGCCTTTCTGCCTGAAGTCGGTGAAAGCCTACTGGGAGCTATTGGTGGACAAGCTCCCGAATGGTATATCCATCATGTGCGTGATTTGGCTCGAACGCAAGAAGTGTGACTGTGCATACTAAAGTGATTCTCCAGGAGATTACCAACACCATCACCGTGAGAGATCCCGTCCAGGTTTTATTCCATGACGTTCCGGATGGTGAATCATGGGCGCAGTCTTTACGGCCTCATGCTTATATTACTCACACAACACCCGCGACCAGTGCAGCTTACTTGCACATCCCATGCAGCTATCTGCTCTGCGAGGACGATCGAGCTATTCCTCTGTTTGTGCAAGAAATGATGGTAGAGAAGGCCCGGGCCAAGGGCGCTAAGTTGGAAACCGAGAAGGTCAAGACGGCGCATACGCCGTGGTTGGCAAACCCTGACATGGTAGCTGCATATCTTAGGCGACAAGCAGGGGAGATAGCCTGAGCGGGAGGGTGGTCTATTGCAGGGCCTTATCTTTCATGATCCGTATGTATCACGGCATTATTCAATAAAGGCTCCCCAAGCCGACCAGGATGGAGGCACTAATGCGTGGTTGGGTCATATCTGACTATCTGACTATGGAAATTTCTATTTCTATCTTTGCAACTACGTCACTTCTGTCAGGTACAGTACATGCCCCGGAGTAGTCACATCAAAGCTGCGCAAACATCGATCTGTGCGTAATTCGTCGATTCGTCGATATAAGCAGAGACAAACACGTTTTTCTCACCTTCAGAAGCGATACGCTTGACCTGAAACAACCAGCCCGTACTCGAACCTAATGTGAGGGATAAAGAGCCTCGGCGTCGGAATTGGTTGACAATAATGGCAGCAGCAGTGGAAGTGACCGGGTGCAGCTCCGGACTAGGGCTGACCATACCGAAACCCCGTCAAATACCATTCTCGTGGATCTCATTGATCCACAAGCCGCAAAGCGGAGAACCTCCCGGGGGTAATTACCCCTAGTATCTTTCAGTACAACCTACTTGTCTGCCGCAATTTCCCCAGGCTATGGCTAGCAAGGACCAAGAATCTGAACTGAACTGAATCTGTAGGGTTTGGTGGAAGGTAACTTACTTCGTACAGTAGAAGGAGATGAACGTTAGGGATTTGGGGCTCGAGGATTTCGTGACGCTGTATAGACACGAGAAGAAACAAAAAAGACAAGAAAAATCGATTTTTAAAAATTGTTTTCTTTCAACTTTGCTTGCAACCTTGCAGACTGGTTGTTGTTACATTTTCGTGGCCACTCCTCCCGTTATCGGTTCCTCCGCCCGCACAAACTCTGCAGCAGGTCTTGATCTCTCTCAGCCTCTTGCTCTTCTCTCCTCTTCCCTTGTGCGCGTACCTGCAAATTTCCATGTCCGAGTAGCTTCACAGTTCCCCCAACTGTCCCCCTCTACAAGTTTACCCGAGTCCTTTCCCTGCGGAGCTTCCTTCAAAGTAAGCTACCTGTGTTTCATTCACTATGATCGCCTCCGGATCGAGCTTCTGAAATCGCAGTCCGAGGCTTATCGTCCGCATTGAGCTAAAAACTGATCCCCACTCTTTCTTTCTCTAGGCCTTCCCGCGTATTTCCTACCCCTCGATTTATCCCGAATTCTACTACCTTTGCGCAGCTCAGCCCCCAGTTCCGGTTTTTGGCCTACCTGCATCCTCGGTCATCCTGTCGCTTGTCGATCGCACTTTTCCCACACTGTCAATCCTCTACTCAAGTTTCACCATTTCATCGCCTGGCGCGCCTACCCCGGCTCGCAACCATGTCCGACGAGTCCAACCACTATGAAGAACCCGTCAACGGGCTCCGGCCGTTGTCCAACGCAGACTCGTTTTCCCTTCCCGCCACCGCGCGCGAGCTGTCCAACCATTCGGAGCGGGTAGAGGCTGCTCGGGCCAATGGTCTTCCCCTGGAAGATGCCGACATCGATGACGAGGATGAGGAAGAGGGCGAAGAGGAGGTCGACGGGGAGTATGTCTCGGTGGACCACGACGATGTCGAATACCCTTACTGGTTTCGCCGCCCGCCTGTGCACCAGCGCACCAAGTTGGACGAACTGCACCCCTTCGTGCAGGTTCTTACAGAGTCGAATGTCGAGGACTGTGTTCAGGTCGAGGAGGCCTTCCCCCAACACGAGCGCTGTACGAGCGAGAAGGTACATCTTCCCGCTGCTTACATCATGAAAGCCGATACGCTACTCCGATGACTGACGCAATCTGTAGTTCCGCTACCGTTTAAGCCGGTGTCCTGAACTCTGTCTCGGTCTCTTCACTCTCCCCATCCTTCGCGAGGGCGAACCCAAGCCCCGCCCCACTCTGGTCGGCCATGTTATTGCCACGAGAACTTCGAGCCCCGTGGTGACGGACAAGTCGATGGCGATGCCGGCCAACTGGCAGACCGAGCGCATGACCGTGGAGAATGGCGAGACTGTGGGCCATGATGAGTACGGTAGCACAATCGCCATTCACTCGCTCGCCGTGCTGCCCGAGCATCAGGGCAAGACGGTCGGCAGCACCCTCATGAAGTCTTATATCCAGCGCATCAAGGATGCGCAGATCGCCGACCGCCTTGCGATCATCGCGCACGGTCATCTGATTCCTTACTATGAATCGTTTGGCTTTGAGAACCGCGGACCTAGCAAGTGTCAGTTTGGCGGTGGTGGCTGGGTGGACTTGGTAAGTGTTATGGTCTTCTGCTTTTGTTTCTGGACTAACAGGTCGCCGGTGCAGGTGTTTGATTTCACCCAGGATTTCGCCCGGGAGTGAAGTACCCGTGCTCGGGCTATTTCTTATGATGATGATCTAGTGGTGGACGGCCATGCGACCTTCCCTTTTATGATTTCTTGACTCGACCTTTTCGTACCCATTCCCTCGATGACGGTTTGATGCATCTTTATGGCTTGATTAAACGGGATTTTCAGTCTTCCTGGTGGGTTTCTGATAAAAGCAAGGCGTTCTGTCGGGCTACGACGGGGGGTTCAGGGACGGGGATGATGACGATACGATGGCCGGATTGAAACACCGTGGGGTGGTTTTGTCAGGACACGCATGTTGATGTATCATATTCCCGGATAGTCAATGTAAATGAAGACTCCATAATAAGTTTTAGACTCAATATTGAGAAGGGGGGGGAGGGATTACATAAGATGGGGCGGAGCTGGGAGATAAACTTGCACAAGAGGTCTCTCTCCCTCACCGGAGAGCCTCCTCTTTCCCCCCACACACCAGCGGAACTAAAATCATCACCCAATCAATCGCTCACCGCCCGCCAAAATCTGCCCAGCGACCGCCGCCCGCAATATTTTTTTTTTCGTTTGATCTCGACTCCGAAGGCTACCAACTCTGACAATTCATCCCCGGGGTTCCTTTGACGAGTCGCTTTCTGTTACGACTCTATTTCACAGGTGCCCACCATGAAGACGACGTGGAAAGATGTAAGCCATCCCGATAACCCTGGATTCATTCCAGATCGCCTTAGAAATCAGCCGGACTGACATCTCATTTTCACCGCTTGATCAGATCGCTCCGGTGCCTACGCATCAGGAGTTCTTGGACATCGTCCTCAGTCGCACCCAGAGACAGCTGCCCACTCAGATCCGTGCGGGCTTCAACATCAGCCGTATTCGAGGTCCGTGATTTCTTTTGTTGACTTTGCGACGTTGATCGTCGAGTCGCTGGTTTCCATCGCGGAAGCCGATAGGAAGATGAATTTGGACTAACGGAAATCTCTTTCGATCGATAGGCTTCTACACCAGAAAGGTCAAATACACCCAGGAGACTTTCTGCGAAAAGTTTCAGGCTATTCTCGATGGCTTCCCCAGATTGCAGGACATTCACCCTTTCCGTAAGTTTCGCTACCCGACAGTGCCAGAGAATTTGCCCCTCGGCATTTGAGACTAGTCGGTCAGATAATCTAAACTCCCGTCAGACAAGGATTTGATGAACACCCTTTACGATGCCGACCACTTCAGAATCGCTCTCGGTCAGATCTCGACCGCTAAGCACCTCATTGAGACCGTTTCCCGCGACTACGTTCGTTTGATCAAGTATGCGCAGTCGCTCTTCCAGTGCAAGCAGCTCAAGCGCGCTGCCCTCGGTCGTATGGCCACCATCTGCAAGCGTCTCAAGGACCCCCTCGTCTACCTTGAGCAGGTGCGTCAGCACTTGGGTCGTCTGCCCGCCATCGATCCCAACACCCGCACGCTCCTGATCTGCGGTTACCCCAACGTCGGCAAGTCCAGCTTCTTGCGCAGCATCACCCGCGCGGACGTCGACGTCCAGCCCTACGCTTTCACCACCAAGAGTTTGTTCGTCGGTCACTTCGACTACAAGTACCTTCGTTTCCAGGCCATCGACACCCCTGGTATTCTCGACCACCCCCTCGAGGAGATGAACACCATTGAAATGCAGTCCATCACGGCCATTGCCCACTTGCGCTCTGCCGTCCTCTACTTCATGGATCTGTCCGAGCAGTGCGGTTACTCTGTGGGTGACCAGATCAAGCTGTTCCACAGCATCAAGCCCCTCTTCGCCAACAAGATTGTCTTCCTGGTGGTCAACAAGATCGATGTCCGCCGCCCCGAGGACCTGGAGCCTGAGTACCAGCAGCAGCTCGAGGCCATCCTCAAGTCCGGGGATGTTGAGCTTCTGCAGCTATCCTGCACGACCACCGAGGGTGTCACCAACGTCAAGAACGCAGCCTGCGACAAGCTCCTCGCGGAGCGTGTGGCCCAGAAGCTCAAGTCTGGCACCAACAACGCCGGCACCCCCGGCGGTCGCCTGGGCGATGTCCTCGCCCGTATCCACGTCGCACAGCCCATGGGTGGCGTGACGCGCGAGACCTTCATCCCCGATGCCGTCAAGACGCTCCAGAAGTACGACAAGAACGACCCCAACCGCAAGAAGCTGGAGAGAGATCTCGAGGAGGAGAATGGTGGTGCGGGTGTCTACAACATCGACCTCAAGAAGACCTACGACCTGGCCAACGACGAGTGGAAGCACGACAAGATCCCGGAGGTGTGGAACGGCAAGAACATCTACGACTACGTGGACCCGGACATCGAGGCCAAGCTGGCCGCGCTGGAGGAGGAGGAGGAGAAGCTGGAGGCCGACGGCTACTACGAGTCGGACGAGAGTGTGGAAGACGCCGAGGACGCCGACACCCGCATGAAGGCGGATCTGATCCGCGAGAAGCGGGCGCTCATGAAGAACGACGCCAAGCTGCGCAAGTCGCTCAAGAACCGGGCGGCGATCCCGCGCAGCGCCAAGGCCAAGAAGCTGTCCCAGATGGAGGAGGCGCTGGACTCGGCGGGCTACGATGTCGACGCCGCCGCCAGCCGGGCGCGGTCCCAGAGCCAGGTTCGCGGCCGCCCGCTCACGCGCGACGCGGACATGGACGATGCGATGGACGTCGATCTCTCGGATCCTCGCCAAGCGATTGCCCGGGCCAAGAGCCGCGCTCGCAGCCAGGCGGCGACGGACCGTCTGCACGACGGTGTGACGGACGAGCAGGCGCGCACCAAGGCGGAGCGGTTGGCCAAGCTGGGCCAGAAGAAGATGAACCGTATGGCCCGCCAGGGAGAGGCCGATCGACACACCACCGCCTCCTTGCCCAAGCACTTGGTAAGATGGCTTGCATCTTGTTTCATTGATCCGTTGCTAACAATGCTGCAGTTCACCGGCAAGCGCACCATCGGCAAGACCCAGCGTCGTTAAGCGGACCAAGCAGATGGTCGATGACGAGACGAAGTCCTTTCCTCTTAATACACCTAACCTACCGCATCGCGTGCTGCATCGCGTATGGCATGTGCGTGATGCGCACCGCGTACCAAGTCCAAAGCTCAATCCTCGTTGCAACATAAGTGGTCATGA